AAATTATACGTGGGTTCGTGTCCTTGCTCATGGTATCACGCGATCGGGTGAGTAGATGTCGGTAGTGTTTAACGTATTTTAAATATGGCGTCTTGGGCACGAATTTGAAAGTAGCTTGTATGAGCTGTCACGTCGGTTCGTCGGTGGTGTCATCCCCAAAGCCATGGAGGTACTTTGTATCTCATTTATTCCGTGGTTAACGTTCGCTGCATCTATCTCATGCTCTAGCAGCTGTAAGAACTGCTGAAGACCGAATGAAACAAATAATGTAAGCGTAAATCCAATTATTTATTTTTACTTTGTTAGAAAGACTTTCAATCTTGAGTTGGTTCGACTCTTACTCCAATTAATAATTAACCATGTGTTAGAAAAGGATGATTCATTAAATTTCCATGGCCCATTGAAATTTAGCCTGTGGCAAAGAGATGATTTAAATAGACCCGAAATTGAACTTAAGCGCTGAACACACACGGCGATTTTTACGATGAACTGTTGTTGCCCGAATATATTCAATATGCCTGTTCACACGGGCGACAATTGGGTTCTTTAATTTTGAGAAAATTTTGGATTTTATACATCATCTGAAAGAGCTTCGTTTTCTGAGCACAACGATATTTTGACAGTGATTGCCTCTCACCCGCCGGAATTTTCTGAGGCATAAAATCTCTGGTCACGCATTCCTTCGAAAGCGAAGTAAAGCCGTTGGTCCCGAGTTGATGGGTCGATAGGTAGGGTCCAGGTGTGGGAGCTGTCGCCCTGGCGTCGGTGGCATTTGTGCTCAGCACGGAAAACAAGATCGACGGAAAACAAGTCATGGAAAAAAAGCTCGATAAACAATCTAGGGTCAAACCACTATTAGTAGGAATTCTCTCTAGAAACCTCTTAGAAATCACTCTTCAATTCCATAATCCCCTTAAACTGGTTTTAGTTAATTCCCAAGATTTTGCTTAATCTTGTATCCATTTTTCTCCAAAAAATTCCCTTGGAATATTCTTGATGGTTTCCATGGTACACTCAATGCTGCTTTGGAGGTTAAGTCAGAATTACCTTGAAATTCTCTTCAGTATGTCCTAAGTACTCTATCAAAATTTGTTTTAAATTCTCCCAGAAATTCCTAGGTGTTATTCTTGTATAAAATCTTAAAATCTACTTGGAAACATTCACCAGAATTCCATTGAAATTAGCCTCACTATTTCCTTATGGATTCTCTTCAGCATACCCATCGCATTCTTGTCAGATTTTCTTTCTTATGTTCCCAACAATTCCTTGAATTTTTCATCAACTAATTATCATAATATATTTAATTGTTTTCCAAGCAAAATTCATCAGAGTTATGTTCGAATTCTACTCAGAACTAACATTGAATTCACAAGGAATTTGCCTACCACTTCCCTTTCTACTCTTTTCAGAATTACCTTAGAATGCTGAAATTCTAAGACATTTTAAAATTTCTTAAGTAATTCAGAGCCTTAGTTACTCAGAATGTCTCGGTACTTCAACAAATGCAAGGAATTATCAAATGCTTTTAAATTCTTAATAAAAATCCAATGAATTATCCTCAACAATCTCACGAACTTGAAGTATGTTAGTTGAAGAGGAACCAAAATCGAGAAAAATTTTCTAAAGCCTTGTAAATTCTTCACGGCTCAATTCACTGTTAGCGTTTTGGTTTTGCCGGACGATTCCTCCTTCCTCGCTGCGTGCTTCAAAACTCGACGGTCTTCACAAAACGGTAAAGACGACGGGGTTCGATCACCAGCCGGGAATAAGGTACGAGCGGACCACTGGAGGCGTTCACTAGCTGCATCTCTGGATCGGATCTCTACACTCGCAGGTTTGAAGGGCACACCGGCACTTAAACAATGGCCGCGTCGGAAGTTCCTCTTCGAGCGACGGCACGCGGGAAATCTCACTTGATTTGTTCACTATAAAAAAATACTAACTTTAGCACTACGTGCGACTGCACCTCGCAACGGTGTTCTTCGTTCACCTATTAGGGAGTTGTCCCACGGTGACAGACCTTTTTATCGGCCTCGGTGTGATGGTGTTGATCGTCTACCACACCGACGATAATCGTGGTAGTCAACTGTGGCTGTGCCTTGTGGTAACTTTTGACGGAAGGTGCATTAAGGGTGGGAATAGGGATGTTCAGGAAGTGGATATTTTCGTGGAATTCGATTTCAAATTCAATTTTGTTTTAATCAGTTCAATTCAATTTTCATTTTAACTAAGCTACTCGGTAAAAACTAAAAGAAACTATTTACAAAAATAATGTAACATATTTGATAGGTTACAAGTGTCTGAAGAACTGTTGTTCTTCAGAATATATACTTTCTTATCAACGCACTATTTTGAGGGAGCATTTGTTGGTCTGACAATCTTGCAAATAATTCCTGGTCAACTTGATATGAATAGAGAATATCTGAAGGACTTCAAATGATCTGAAAACCCTTATTATTTGGATAGCCAATGGTATTTTATTAAAACAAGAGTAAGTCCTACTCGGTGTTTTGGAGTTTTCAAAGCCCCATAAATACGTTTAGTCTGTCGTGACCAGGGCTGAACATATTCATTACAGCTAAAATACTACTTTTTGAAATTATGAAACTATGAGATATTATGATAATAACTTGTAAGATGCAACTAGAGGAGGTAAAGTTGGTGTATGACACATAAAATCTGTCAATCTCGCTTTCAGAGTGTCACAATTAGCGATTAGTTGTAAAGAATAGTACTCACTCATGACGATTACTCATTACAACTAAAATAGCTGATTGTGATCCCCTGAAAGCAAAATTTACTGGTGCTATGTGTCATACACAAACTTTACCTCCTCTTCTTGCATCTTACATATAAAAATTACAATTATTATATCTCATAGTTCCATAATTTCGCAAAGAAGTATTTTAGCTAAAATGAGTATGTTCAGGCCTGGTCGTGACATACAACACAATCATATGTCTGAAATAATGTTCTATGCTCTCATACAGCTCACAATCTCAAAATCGTAGAAAACTTTGTTGAGCGTAGAGAGCTTCAAGATCTGACCACCTTGACGGTTGAGAAAACCTAAGATATGTTGCTACTACAGCTGTCCTAAATTATGTGAAGAATTTCAAGATCTAAACTCCAAACACTTTGGAGAATCTAAGTCAAACATGATGTGATGAGATCCTACGAAGCGCATGTATTCGTATAATAAATGTGCATATCGTATAAGACTATTAAAATCCTGTAGAGCCTCCAGAGCAAAACTTCAGGAAAACTAGGAGCTCCCAGAATACTTAGTCATTACTACTGTCTGACTATCCCACATGTTATTATGGATCTACGTGGAGCTTTGCGCATTTAAAAAATTAGCCGGAACATCGTTTGTTTGGAGCTAGCATCACCCACCTAATGCAGCATCCCTTGCTAGGTCAATAGCTGGGGTTGGAAGAGATGGTTGCATTACAAACCCTCTCTCGATCTACATCAATGCAGAGTAGTGATCCCGAAATATACGTCATCAAGGCCGATGATAACTCTGCTCAGTAAATTTTAATACTTTAATGCAGAACGGATCAGCCTGTCGGACCATGCGGTCAAGTGTTTCGTTGAAAACATCTTTGAACCAGAATATTCCGCCTGATAACCAAAAGGGCGGATTCCCCCTATACTGACTAGACATTGGGCAGTTGGAATTAAACACCTAACCCTGCCGTGAGCAACCATCAACTATGTATCGACGTTGGGGATCGGCATTGAAGGGAGCTCTCCGACATCGTACAATACCTCATAGACTCTGTTGAACTTCAATATCTGAACTTCAGACACTTCGGAGAACCTAAGATATATTGCTAATACAACTTATGCCCCACACGACGTGAATAGATCTTATGAAGCATTACGGATTCGTAAACTAAATCAGGTCGTATTACAAGATTTTGTTGAACTCGTAGAACTCCAGGATAATTTGAAGAACCCATAATACTTTGCCATTACAAGTATACACCCTCATGATACCGTGTCGAAGCTCTACGAAGTAATAAATTCACCTCGACATCGTACAATACCTGGGTAATTCTATAGAACTTCAATATCTGAACTTCAGGCTCTTTGAAAAACCTAAAATATATTGCTTATTAAAATGATGTCCCACAGAATGTAATGATGTTCCGCAAAGCTCTGCGACTACGTATATTAACTCAGGACATCGTACAAGACTTCGTTGAGGACGTACAACATCAAGAACTAACCTCCAGAATAATTTGGAGCACCCGAAATAGTTTATCATTTCAACAATATATCTCCAAATGATGTTAAGTAGTGCTATGAAGCTGTAAGGGTTCGAAAATTTAGTCGGGATATCATAGAATACCTTGTTGAGTTTATAGAACATCTCAGATCTTGATGCAATATGATTTGATGAATCCAAGATAATTTGTCAAAACACTTATAAGTCACACAGTGATATGCGGTCCCACGAAGCACTACGGATTCGTTCGCTTATTCCGAACATTGAGCAAAATTCAATTGAGCAGGTTGATCTTCAAGGTTAATTCTTCAGGACGATTTAGAAAAATTTGTTATGCTCTATGCTGTTTTGTGTATCATAAAATGTGCTACAGCACTTCGAGCATTTTTGACTACAAATTATTCGATGAAATATCAAATATCACTTGAAAATATGAGGATCAAAACTACAGAGTAATGTAGACGTCCTACCTAGATCATTAAAAAAAATCTATAATTTCTACATTTTTGTACTTTTTCAGCTGAATTCTATCAAAAGAAGAAAAAAGCTCTTCAAAATTATCCTTAGAAAAAATGGGACGCACGAATTTGAGATTATCATATGAAAAATCAGTGCGTAACCAGCCCTTAATTTACCACGACAGCACTGGCTGGACAGGTTGCAAATAGCTTTAATACACAACTGTGCAACAAAATCGTACAAAATCCTTCGTCCATCACGAAGCAAATATCACAAATGACAAACAATATCAATGTATACTTACATTTCGATCCAATTTAGTGCTGTACCGCTGCGTCACGCAAAATAAGGAAAATGGAACGAGATATGTTACAAGGATGCTGCGACCAGGACGTACAAACCCTTGTGGAGAGGGTCGTCCCAGGAAAACGCCGCGACGGTCTCCGGTCGGTTGGATGGGTAGAGGTGGTGCTGTTCTAATGGATGGTTTTGCCTTTTTCCTGAGCTCCTTTTTTATTTTTTATTTGCTTTTGTCACTGACAGTCCCAGGTAGGATCGCTTTTGTCCCGAACCTTGCCAATCTTTTTCACAATCCTCACTCTCTATGTGTGTATGTGTGTGTGTGTGCGTCTCTGTTGGCTTCCTACCAAACAGGATTCTTCCAACTCTTGGTTTAAATATTCAGAGTATATTTATTCACTGCTACGTGTGGTACGCTTTTTCATCTTATCAAGAAGCCTTCGTTATCTGCCACAAGCCCCCCGCTACTAAGCGAGTGCCGTGCCGAAAATCAAATTTCCTGAACCTCTATAGCTAAACTCATCCCGACACCGGGGCACAGTTCTATAAATAAACACTTTCCCTTTTCAGCCTCCGAATCTGTCTTCTCCGCGCACCGAAACTCAATTAACGCTGAAAATGTGTCAGTTTAGAGAAATATCCTTTCTGGTATGAAACTTCTACTTTTTTTTTTCTCACAACTCTATGCCCAGAAGGATCAGGTGTTGAAAAGGGATCCCGTTCAACTCACTGCCGTATTGTTCACTTTTGCTACCGCTCTTGGAAACACTCGAAAACTCGTTCCCCGTCATTTGCCTCTGGAGCATTTTGGAGCTAAGTATCCTTTTCCTCTAAGGATGGCACACCATCGTCAACTTGCCACAATTCCTTCCACACACTTGTTACCATCAGACTTCATCCCGTCCACAACCCACTGTGCCGGAGGAATCTTATGTCTCTTTCACCAAACCAGAATCCACATTTTCACCACTTTCTCACTACCAGTTGCTTCTTCACATGGGAAGAACCTTGGCCAATGCAGAATGGGAAGACCCCCATTAGGTTGCTCCCACAGAAGGACTTACACTAACACACACTTACAGGTGGTTTCCAAGATCAACTGGTTGTTCTTCAAACATTCAACAGATTTGCTTGACTTTGCTCGACTGGTTTCTCCTCGGAAACTCGACCACCAACATCCAACAATTCTCCAAGCACGACTGAGCTCGAACGCGCCTCATATTTCACTTTTATATGCACGGACGCGAAAACCCGCCACCTTGGCCACCCAGCCGGCCTGAGTTTTCTCAACCCACCTAGTTTCCCGAGGACACAAAACGCTCTCACGCTGCCGACGCCACCGCCTGTGCTGCTGGAGAACTCTGCGAATTGCGAGCAACAGGAGGTTAATGGCTGCTAAACTCTGGCGAAGCACGACGCCGATATGGATAGATGGGTTTTCGGTTGTTTATCTGTGTAGGTGGCTCACATCCGCTCAGCTGGGCAGCATGCGGAGGTGGGTGCGGATGAGTAAGATCTACAGGTCCAAATGCACGCACAGGCGCACTAACACAACGCTGGATGCACGCGCGTTCACCTGTTGGCAAGTGGTGGTAGGTCTGGGATTCGCAGACACTGGTGGTCCTTTCCGGAACGGTGCACGAAATGTCGACTGTGCGTGATGTTACTTATTTTATATCAAGAGCAAATTTGCTTCATAACATGCCGAAGGATATACCCAATCCAGTCTTGAGTTAGTCTGAAGGGTTTGGAGTTCTAGGATGCGATGCGCATTGAGGTCCCCAAAGCTGAGCGTATTTGGTGATGATTTGGATTTGAGGGATAATTTTAAATTATGTATGAACAGATGTATGGCAAATGAAACGAAACTATTCATTTGCTTGTCAAAAAAATTTAAAAAAATATCTATTTTGACCAAATCTCTAACTTAGATTAAGAATACTATGCAAAACAACTTTGTCGAAGACTGCAAATTGATTCGACTTCTGTTCAAAATGTCATTAAACTTTTACTTTGACATGAATTGCTGAGATTTATTCTTTATCATTCTATGATTTTTAAAAAAATTGGTTTATGAGTTATTAATTTTCAAAGTACGTGATTTTCAGGAAAATCCGAAAACATCATCAACAGTTTTCCGAGAAAATTGGCCACCACAATTTCTTTTTGAATTTTTGTTCCATTCATATGATCATGGGCCGTGGGCAAAATTTAATAGCATTATGAGCACCTTTGGCCCATTTTGTTCGATAGTATCGATAGTGGGTGGATGATACCACCCATATGGAGGGGTTTTTTTGTGGTTAGTTCAGTTTTCCCTGAAATTTTAGGTTGGAATTTTCGGAATTTCCCGAACATCACGTATTTTGAAAATTCATAACTCATGAACCAAGTATTGATAAAAAAATTAAAGTAAAGGAAAAGCGCAAAGAAAAAGATGAAAAACCATTTTCTGAGAATGAACTATTTAGTCATGGCTATTTTCACACAGATGGCGCTGTTCCATTGGTAGTAAGTAATAAAAATCCCCTTATATAAATATTTGGAAAAGTGGAAATACTACGCTTGTAATGCATATTTAGGTCCAAACAAGTTGACAATAACCTAAAGAAATCATTCATGGACTTTGTCACTAACTATTAAATTAAAAAAAAAAATGATTTTTCACATGATTTTTTACCCACTTTACTACTCTCTGGAGCCTTAACATTCAAATTTGAGAGAGTATATTTTCTCTCACGAGCTCAATCTCTCAACATGCCATCCCAGTAAGAATGCCGTCGGACGAACTAGCTGCTGTCGGGCTGGAGAGTTACTCTTCTCTGCTTTTCGCGAGTGGAATTGCTCGAACTGAGCGAAGAAGAGAGTAGAATGCAAAGTAAAACGAAAAAATGAGAGAATAAGCTGTCGTGCTCCTGTCTTGGAATATTACAATATAGGGAAAACATGTCAGAAGGATATAGCTCGAAACGTAAACAATGACTTTGCACGTCGATTTCTCTTGAATGACCACAAACCCACGTAGCTGCGTAGTTTAACTAGCTCTGCGTAATTTTGTAAAAATGTCCGATAAAAGAGATGTTGACGAACTCGGTGAAGCTGGACCTAGCAGCAAAAAACAAAAAACAGATGTTATCTACGCATAGTGTTGATTTGAACGGTATGCATTCATATTAATATATATCGACATTTTAACGGTTTTGAAACATATGTTTAAAATTTTCTTTTAGACCCGAGTGAAGTTATGCATTTTATACTGCCGAAATGCATACAAATTCGCCGAATTGAAACTCCAAAACGTAAGTTAATGAAAACGTTTTAATCTTTGCGTGCCTAACGTCTAAATTTGCATAGACTTCAAAATGCAATTAGCTAAAAAAAAAACATAATTTCTCAATCTTTTTCTTTACAACAAAATGCATTTCGTCGGGAATCTATTGAAGTTTTTGAATCCATCTGAAAACATTTGGATCAATACATGGTTCCGGAGTTATTCCGGTTCCCGTTGGGGTTACTTTTGGTCGGCATTCGGCTTTACTGTTCTGCAATATGTATACACACAATGAACATCATGTTTTTTCTCTCAAATGATGTGATTGGACCAATGGCAGTTATACTGACGTTCCACGGTCACATTGGGCTTCCCGGAAATGTTGCTGTGTTTCCGGGGAAGTGGCCAATTCTCGACAAAAACCAAAACCTATCGTGCGACATATCAAACTTCATGATTTTAAAAATCTTGGCCGGAAATGGCCTTATTGAGAGTCCATGGTCACACTAGCCCTCCCGGGCATGTCCTGGTGCCCCCGGGGAAGTGGCCAATTCTCAACAAAAACAAAAACCCATCATGCGACATATCAAAATTCCTTATTTTACAAATCTTGGCCGGTAATGGCCTTAATGAGAGTCGACGGTCACACTAGTCCTCCCGGGAATGTTCCGGTGCCCCTGGGGATGTGGCCAATTCTCCACAAGAACCAAAACGTGTCATGCGACATATCAATGATATGATTTTGTTGAACTTGGCCAGTAATGGTCTTTTTGAGAGCCCACCATCCCATTGGCCCTCCCGGGCATGTTCCGGTGTCCCCGGGTATATTTTCAATTCTTGACAAGAACCAAAATCCGTCGTGCGACATATCAAACTTCATAATTTTGCACGGCCAGTAATGGTCTTAGACAGTCCACAGTCCCATTAAATTGGCCCTTCCAGGTAGTGATGGGCAAAACACCGGTACAGCACCGGTACTGATTACTAAATCATAACCAATGTGCTGATCAGTTGTACCGAGTGTTTGGTGCTGCTGTCGGTTCGGTTTGGTAGTTGTAAGCAACACCGCACCGTGTTCACCAGTTCACTACACACGGTGCGGTTCTGATTTTCCAGTACCGGTGTTCGTGTTCACAAGGATGATGTTTTGAATTCAAGAACCGATCCGGTACTGTTGTATGTTTATATGCGGGGTGCGGCGCATTATTCAGAATTGCCAGTGATGGCAGATATTTAAACAGAATTTGTATTTAATGAATAAAATTATGCAGTGTCAAGTCGAAATAGCGGTTTTTGAATTCAGAAAAATTGTGAATGCAAATGATGTATTACGCAATGTGGGTATTTCCGGAATCACGGTGACGTCTTGAGACAGGAAATTAATGTCTGACGCCATCTTGAAACCCAAGATGGCGGCTTCCGGTTATATGAAAACTGTGAAATACTGTCAAATATCCTTCAATATGGGTATTTTCGGAATCGAGATGATGTATATAGACCGAATATCAATGTCAGCCGCCATCTTGAAATTCAATATGGCGGCTTCCGGTTGCAGAAAAACTGGGAAATAATGTGAAATATCCTTTAATATTGGTATTTTTGGAATCAGGATGACGTTTGTACACCGAAAATCAATATATGACGCCATTTTGAAATCCAAGATGGCGGCTTCCGGTTAGAGAAAAAACAAATGCCAAATATCCTTCAATATGTGTATTTTTGGAATCAGGACGTATATATACCGAAAATCAATGTTTGACGCCATCTTGAAATCCAAGATGGCGGCTTCCGGTTATAGAAAAACTGGAAAATAATGCCATATATCCTTCAATATGGGTATTTTTGGAATCAGGATGACGTATAGGTAATGGAAATCAATGTCTGACGCCATTTTGAAATCCAAGATGGCGGCTTCAGGTTATATAAAAACTGGGAAATAATGCGAAATTTCCGTCAATATGGGTATTTTTGGCATCAGGATGACGTATACATACCGAAAATTAACGTCTGACGCCATTTTGAAATCCAAGATGGCGTTTCTGGTTATATGAAAATTGAGAAATACTGCCAAATATCCTTCAATATGGGTATTTTCGGAATCAGGATGACGTATACAGGGTGTTTGCTTCCGGGTTTTACATATTTTCAGGGAAGATAGGGCTCCTAAAGTTATGAAAAAATCTCCATGAAACATAGGGTCGGAAATGACTGCTAAGTGAGTTATTCAACATTTTATGTTTTTTTTATTTCCAAATTTGGTTAGCTATATTTTTTTAATCTTAATGTGGTTTTCTGATTTCAACATTTCAAATGAAAGTTTGAAGTCTTATCTATCAATGCTCTTTAGTAAAGAACTCGATTAAAGTTAATTATCATACATTAAAATTGAAAAGTATGTTGAAAGTACCAAAAAAACTGGTGAAACTTCATACATTTTAGTGTTTTTAAGTTGAAAATTTTCATTACTGTTAATTTAGTTGTTCTACAAAACATTATCCATGCAGTTTTCTAGATTTGTGTCTTTGGTAGTAACCTTGTAGGCTTTATGGTTTCTTCGTAATTATTGATTAAAAACAGCCATAAAAACTTGTGACGTTTTCTTAAAATGCGCTATAGTCACCCTATTCGTTCGTACGTTCGGCTGTTGCAGTGGACTACGCACATGAAAATTTGGTAGAATGTTATTGTAAATGTTGAACTACATTCTTAACTTTCGATTACCGCAAATCTCCTGCGCCGAACGAAAACATAACTGCGGAGATGTTTCGCGGTATCGAATATTGCTCAGTCTCAGCAGAAAACACAACGAGAGACACCGAATCGGCGAATTCTGTGAGCGGAATGGAGAGAAGTAGGTAGTGGTAATTAGTCGATGTCCCTTTTATTTCATAGCATTCGCAGTCGCA